AAGAGAGGAGGTAGTCAGGTTTAAAAGCCTTGTACTACGCAGAGGTGACATTCAAAATAGTTAACCAGCATGGCACAGCCATTAACCATTCAATGACCACAGACCTTAATAACCCGTCCAGGCAAACAGGTACAGACAGCCAGCCCCGCACGTGTCCACGCACAGCACGGGTGAAGCGGAGTGGGCTCTGCTGGGCTGCACAACCCGGCGGCCCAGCATGCCCGGCACTTTTAGCCCACCTGGGTAGCAACTTTACTCTGGAGACCTGCACTGGAGGAGTCTCTGGCCAAATCCCTTTGGGGGCTCAGGCTCCCCTTGCATCTGCCACTTTATAACAAAGCTTTCTCCCTTTGGTCACCTAACCATCCTCAATTTAGAGAGATGCCTGTAAGCCTTAAGTTAAGAGCTGGCTGATGCACTGTTATAATGACGCCCCAGTCTAGATGTAGGCCCCGTGTTCCGCTGGAAATGAAAGAGCATGTTTGGCTTTTAGTAGTAGAGTTTTAAAAGGTTGGTAGATGACTTGTGCATAAGCCCCCCAGCCCCTGAATACCTGGCTATTCTGGTTAAGATCTGTGACTACATAGCCTCATACAGCAGGAGTTGCAATCCAAGACTAGTAACAGAAACTGAAAATAACTTACTTCTCTCTCATCTGAAAGAAGCCCCACGATAGGCAGTAGAAAGTCTTCCACGATAACTAGGAGCTGGGATCTTCAATCTTTCTGTTCCACCATCCTTCGAACATGGCCTCCATCCTCAAGACCACTCATGACCCAAGATGACTGCTGGAGCGTTAGCCATTATGTCTAGATTCCAGGCAGAAATCAGGCAAGAGAGGAAAGAGGGAAAAGTCACATGTGGACTGTCTGTCCCTCTATTAAAGCATTTTCTCAGAAGCTCTGCCCAACCGCTTCTGTTCCCAACCAATTGGCCGCCTCTAGCTGCAAGAAAGCTTAGTCCTTTAGTTAGGTCCATTGCCACATGGAACAGAACTGGGGCTCTGCTAGGAAGGACAAAGAGGAGGAAGATGCTGTGGAGGCAATTAGCATTCCTTGCTTCATGCCATATAAGAAGGTTCCATGACTCTCTGGGGCCACCTGAAGCCATAGGAAATGTGTCCCAGTACCCACCACAGCTGTTGCACCTGCTGAGGCCTCCTGGAAGGATCACTGACCTTCCCCTGAGCACGGAAAGCAGACCCGGATCCTCAGGGGCCCACAGGCTGCCAGAAAGAAGCCTACCCCTTTGGGTGGTGCCTTTGGGCCTAGATCTTCCCTTCTCCTCACCAAGTGGCAGGAGGTGACACTAAAGCTCAGGAACCTGAGCTCTCCATGAAAAAGGTGAAGAAACTGCTGCTCTTAGCTCCACCTTGTAAAGGGGAAATTGGCCTTGAATCAAACTAAAAAGACCCCAGGGAGACAACAACACCCCAGGGATTGGGATGGGAGACCAGGGTTCAGTGTCCAGACAAACAGCCTTGTCTGGGAGTGGTGGCTGCCATTTTCCATCCCAGGTAACTCTCTCAGGGTCCATACAGGGAACGCGGGTGAACGGAGCATCTACGTGGTGGTATTAGATATCCCACGTGGGGAAACTGGAGATGGTCCATGAGATACGGCTCCTGCCCTTAAAGCAATTACATCACAAGGAATTTGTATCAAAACCCAAGTCAGAATGTGAGGAAAGGGGTCAGATGCTGACCTGGGAGGGAAGGGGTCCAAGTAGGGAGACATCCTCCTAGTTTACAGGCTCAGAGAAGCCTAACTCTTTTCGAGCATGGGATGGAGAGGATTGGATGGGAAGATGGGGCAGCATCCTTTGAGATGTCAGCACAGGTGAGCAAAGGCTAAGAGAAGGCACCTTGCTGGCCTGGTGCTTCAACTCTTTGTCCCACCCTCTCCTTCTTCCTCTTCCTTTTCCCTCCGCCCTGAATTTCCTTCCTGCTTCCTAATGAGGATGGGAAGAAGGCTTCCTCTAGGCTGACATGGCTGTCCCAGACTGATGGTTCTTCCAGCAAGGACCTGCTGGTTCCCCTCGACCACAACCCAAGCCTCCGGCCTGGATTCTGTCTGCACATCACTGGTGCTCCATACAATTTCTTGGACAAATTAATGGGTGAACAAATAAACAATTGAAAGGGGATCACGAGAGCAGCTGAACTTGCTCTTTGAGGGGTCATCTCCATGAAGGGAAACACTGATCTACAAAATGAACTTGTTTGGGGTCCACCCAGGACCATGTCTCAAAGGGAAAAGCGACCCGTAAAGTATGTTTGTGCAGTAAAACGAATCATCTAGGTGTCAATTACTTAGAAACAAGCCTCTAATGTGAACAACCAGAAGTGAGGAAAAATCAATACACTTCTTCTCATTGTGTAGAAATGGAAAACAGGCTTCATTTTACTCCAGCCCCAGGGAGGGAAGAGCAAATTAATGGTTCCTATCAGGGGCCCTGTGCTATCTCTATGCCCAGAGCCTGGCTCAGGGAGGGGCCCGTTAGGTTAGAAGGGTTCTAATCTCAGGCTTGAGATCCCCAAGTGAATACAGTGTGTGCTCACGTGCACATACACACACACCATATAGAGGCATACATATGTGTTCTTGTGTGCCTTATGCATGCACATACGTGTACACCCATGCCTGCATGTATGCCTACACATGCACAAACATAAGAACGTCTGTCTACACATGCACGTACAAAGACGCCACATGTATCCATCCACACGGGCACATGTGAATGTCCACATGTACATGTAAGTACCTGAACACAGATGCCTGTACCCACGCGCTCCATAGACATTCACTTTTAGATCTGCTGACATGTCACATTTCTTGAATTAAATTACAGTGTTCGGTTGGGTTATGGTCAATCAATAAGGAAATAGATGGAAAGTTTGCAGCCCTCCCAGGAATCTTCTTGCTTCTGTACCCATGTTTGGTCACCCAGGGGGCTTCCTTCACTCAAGGACATTTAGACTTTTATGAAGACATACACATTTAGAAAACTACATATGTCCATACACAGAAATCTCGCCTTCAGGGATATTCACTTTATTGGTTTCCTATGGCTGCTGTAACAAATTACCAGAAACTTCATGGCTTAAAACAACATAAATTCATCATGTTAACAGATCTGGGGAACAGAAGACCAAAATGGGTCTATCGGGCTAAAATCAAGATGCCAGCAGGGCCACATTCCTTCTGGAGGCTCGAGAGGAGAATTCCTTTCCTCACCTTTCCCAGCTCCTGGATGCTGCGTGTGATCCTTGGCTGATGGCCCCATCCTCCATCTTCAAAGCTGCAGCATGGCATCTCCCGATCTCTCTCTCTCCCTGATTCTTCTTTCTTCCTCTTCTACTTATAGGAAGGCTTGTGATCACATTGGGCCCACCCAGATAATCCAGGATCATCTCCCCATCTCAAGGTTGGCTGATTAGCAACCTTAATTCCCCCTTGCCATGTAACCTAACATAGTCACAGGTTCTGGAGGTTAGGACTAGACATCTTTGAGGGGCTATTATCCTGCCTGTCACACACATATTTACAGTAAAGAGAATAGAGACATTTATGGAGTAAGGGGCAGGACCGTTTTCTGAGTAAGAGCATGAGTTTTGGACCCTGAGCCACCAACAGTTCCAATCCTGGCTCCACCTCTTACAGCTGCGTGACCTTGGGCATGTTTCAAGACCTCTCTAAACCTCAGTTTCGTCCTCTGTCAAATGGAAATAATAGTACCTACTGCATTAAGCATGTCTTTGTATTCTGATGTTTCGACATGGGGGGGGGGACCTTGCTGACCCTGGAAAGACTGCCCCTTCCAAGACTAGCCAGGGCCTAGAGATAGCAAGAGTTGCCTGCCATTGAGGCTCTCATATGCAAATGAACCAATCCAGAGCCCTACACCCACCACCTCCTCTAATTGGCTCTGACCCTCAGGGCTAATATTCCCCTAATCTCATCACCCCAGGGCCAGATACCAAACAACTCAAGACAGCCCCTACACCCCAGAGCCTGCTGAAATTATTCAAACTAGCCAATCCTAAATCTGCTTATTCTGTCTTGCCTGTTCCTTCCCATGGAAACCAAAACGAAGGCTATTGGTCACTTTTTTCCCTCACTCCCTCCATCTCCTGGCCAACCCTGGTGCTTCCCCATGGAGCCCTGCATGGCAAGGCTTGGCCCTTCCTCTTCAGAATGCGAGTGACAAACTATCTTTTCAATGGCAGTCATCTCCTGATCTGTTGGTTGGCCCCACCATACCTGAATCATAATAAAACTACACTTTATGGGGTTATTATATTATGGGATTATTATAAGAATTAAATGCGATAATGTATGCAAAGTAATCAGTAGAGTGATAACTATGGGTCAGCTGTTGCTGTGAAACAACCCACCAAATCTTACATACAAGGCCCTACGTTTGGTCTTCTCCCCAAGGCTGTGTTGTAATGGCCTCGCCTTTGATTTGGTGAGAAATCATTTTATTTTCCAACCTGGCAATTTCTGGGCTCTCTGCAGTCCCTTGAAATTCTGCTTGCAAACTGGCCAATTCCTTCTTGAAATTATCTCTTTCATGCAATTAGCAGCAGCCAGCTCATACTTTCAACATCTTGCCTCAAAATCTCCTCACCCAACTTGACAAATGCTTTAGGCACATTTTTCTACCTTCCAGGTTATTGCAAGTGAGAGCTCTACCAAGGGTTTCACCATTACATAACATGAGTGCTATTTTGCCAGCCTCCTGTAACACTTCCCTCCCTCACGCCCCCTCGTCTTGGAGCCAATGCCACATGTTTCAGGTTTGTGTTATGGGAGCATTCCACTTCAGGTACCAATTTCTGCATCAGTTAGCTATTGCTGCATAACAATCACAAAAATCTCAGGGTCATAAAACAAGCAGCACATATTTCTCGCTCACTTTTCTCTGGATTGGAGATAGAGGACAAAGGAATGAGTGATGAACAATAAGTTAATCTACTATACACAGTAAGGACATAGTGAGTTTTCAGCAAATGTCAGCCTTTATTAGCTATTTTGCCAGCTCCAAATACAATGATTGTTAAATAGCACATACGCAAAAGAACTGGCTTCGGACCCCAATTCCATCATCGCTTCACTGTGAGGCCTTGGAACAATCACTTAACCTCTTTATTCCTTGGCTTCCTCACCAGAAAAGGGAGGTTAGCAGGACTAGAGTGTGAAATACCTCATAGAGCAGTTATTGCTCCCCTCTCAGGGTCTGTGGCAAGAATATCCCCTCCACCAGGACCCCTCCCAGAGGCAGAGCTGAGGGAGGTGATTCCACTGGGGAAGGAGAGAGGCAGTTCCCATTGTTTGGTGAGGACAGAGAGATTGCCTTTTCTACAAAACTCATGGTCTTTGTTCACACCACTGCACTCAACATCTCTTCTGTATGGTCTTCAGAACCATCATCGTTGACATATGAAAGTAAATAGGTTACACGCTACAGAAAGGCTGGATAGCAGAGTGGTTAAGAGCTCAGACTAGAGCCAGATCACCTGGATTTGAATCCTGACTCAACCCCTTCTCAGCTACATGATGTTGAACAAGTGACTTAGCAATCCGTGCCTCAGTTTCCTCATCTGTAAAATGGGAATACTAACAGTAACACTTCAGAACGATTGTGAGGATGCTGTGTAATATATATATATGACTTAGGACAGAGCCTGGCACACAGTAGAACTATATAAACATTCACTATTAGTTATTACAATTTTATTACCTTAAAATTGTGGAAAATGCACCAATTTGGAGAGCTGTGCTCGGTGCAGCCCTGCTGCCGCTGGCAGCATTCTGTTATTGACTAAATGGACTTTAAGGTCCCTCAGTCACGTCCGAGACCCCACGATTTCTTGTACATCATATGGACACAGGTGGTGAGAGAGACGCCTGTGGTTCTTCGTCCATTCAGTGAAAATCTAGGACTCAGTTTTCAAGGGCCCACATATTTTTAGAACCTGCTTTTAGCAGGAAGAAGCTACTGAGTCCAATGTTTCAGAGGCCTTTTCTATTGGTTTATGAGACTCATTTAGAGCAATGGTGATAAATGAGGGAGGGCTGTGGAAGCTGGAGAAAGACTGCAAATTCTCGCTTCCGGCGGAGGGGAGAACAATGCGCCATTGTTTGCAGCAGATCGCTGGAGGAAATGCTTCTTGCTTGTGCGTCATTTGTAATTAACTCAACCTGGGATGAAAAATGTCGTGTATACGAAAATGTTATACTACCTGTGTAAGAATAAATCGTTAGCAGATGCTGCCGGCATGAAGATTGTTATTGATGACTTTGGGGAGAAAACAGGTTTATGGGAAATGTTTGATTCAGAAGGAGGACACGCTTCTTGCTCGACTCCTGCCTGTCTGGCTGCACAGCGTTGGGAGGTTTATAGTACGGTGTGAAAAGCAGAAAAGTCCGTGCACAGGACCTGATCCGGTTTGTCCAAGCTCGTAGGAGCTCGCCTCCCAGAATGGGGAGGTCGGGAGCTCACCTGCCCCTCCTGCAGAGGGACTGCCTCTGGCCTGCTCAAGCTGGGCTGAGTCCCTAGTCCTTGGAGGTCTGGGTCCTCGCCCCTCCTATGCACACGTGAAGGGCATCTGGGTGTAACTGTCGGACTCAGCCAGGAGGGGCCACAGTTTGATGATAACGCAGTCGTGGATAGCGCATTGGGCCAGCGTGGGCTGAGGTCAGCCAGGAACAGGTTGGCCTGTGGCTCTGGAACTGGTTCGTGGTGTGGTGTGGTTCTCAGCAAACAAATTTACCTCTCTGACCCTCAGTTTCTTCATCTCTAAAATGGGCAAACTAATAGTATCTATCCCCAAGCACTTTTGAGGGTTAATTTAAAATATAAAACAGTCCCATCCTTGGTCAGTAGTAATAAGCCCTCATATGTTTATGATGGTGACGTTTCAAACTCCTCACCATGAGGGTCACCACATCCAGACCCTCCACCTCCCACCACCCTTACCTTTGGCACACATGCTCCCTCCACGAGGCAGCACGGCCAAGCATTTCAGAGCAGGAACTTCGGGCCCCACAGCCCTGCCTTCAAGCCCTGCTCGTCCACTCACTTTGTGAACATGAACGTGCTACTTAATTCTCTGACTGCAGTGGTCCTGCGCGTAGAATGGGGCTGATAGAGCACCTCCCACGTTGGGACTGTGGTGGAGACTGAGATGACGGCTAGGAAGCCTTCAGCACAGCACCTGGCGCACAAGATGCACCCCCTCAGTGCAAGGTATCATTACTCTGCCCGATGCTGCGGGGCAGGAGGTCTAGAGCAGAAACGTGATCACCACCTCACGGTCCAGGACTCCAAGCTGGCAGGAGACATCTTCACCCAGGCTCATTCTGCCCCAACACCGAGGTGAGTCGATGCTACAAACTCCTGCAGTTCAGCACTCCTTTACTCCGTTCCTCTCCTCCTTCGCTGCCATCCTGCTTCAGCCAAATTCTGGTTCTTTCAGGCCTGGGAGCCGGAGAGAATTGGGCTCGAATCCACACTCACTCACTGTATGACCTTGGACAAGTTGCTTAACCTCTCTGAGCCTGTTTCCTCACCTGCAACTGTAAGGATTAAATGAGACAACGCATGCAACATGCCTGGTCCAGAGCCTGGCACTGATTAAAAGCCGAACAGGTATTAGGTTCCCTTGTTCCTTAAATGGAAATCCTTTTCTCGCCCCTTAATGGGCTTAATTAACCCTTCCCCTCTCCAGATGTTATACTGCATCAGAGCATTTCTTCCTGTATGTCTTATTTAGCCCCTGTTGTGTTGGAATCAAAGGACCCCCACATCCTGTGCTTTCTCTAGAATCCTGCTTTCCATTTGCATCCTCTGTAGAAATCATGGCTATCTCCCAACATCAGTTCTCCTCGCTGTGGTAAATTGTTGCATTTACGGCTCCAAATTCGTTCGTTCCTTGTATCCACCCCATGGAGTTATCTTCCCCGACCTGATTCTCAGCTCGCCATGTGCCTTGCTCTGGCCAATGGGAGGATAGCAAATGTGCAGTGAGAAGACACTGGAGAAGTGTTTGTGCCCTGGGGCTTGTCCTCTCTTTCTGCTCCTGGAACCCTGAGACCACTAATGTGAGCAAGCCCAGGCCAGCCCGCTGGAGGATGACAACCCTGGGGAGAGTCCCCAGTCATCCCAGCCATCTCAGCAAAGATGTCCCAAACCACTCAACCCCAGCGGGCCCAGCAGCTGATGAGAGAGCCTGGCCCAACGGAGGAGCCATCGTGCTAAGCATGGCCCAAATCGCTGACCCACGGAATGTCATCAATTCAGACCTTTATATTAGTAACACTTTAAATGTATCCGTGTTCAGGGTCATCTTGTTAATTGTAGACAATTCTGCCAACCTATCAAGATCGTTTCAAACACTGAATCATCATTCAAAGTGTTTGCTATCATTTCCAGGTTTGCATTACCTGCAGTCGGGAAAAGCATTCGTCCCTGGCGTCTTCATCCGAGCCCCTCACGGGAATATTAGACACATTGAGCTGGAAATTAAATAAGCATCATGTGCCAGACATATCGTGCTGACCGAGAACAGCTGACTCCACTCACATCACACCATTCCCTCACTTAACAATCCCAAACTCTGGCTATGTGCCTGACATGGTTTTATGGCTAGATAAGCGAACATAACTAACTCTGCCCTTGAAGTATTTGATATCCAGCCAGCTACTAACCCGGACAGGAGAAGGAGGGAAACATTCCTGAAAGAAGGGGATTTTTAGGCTGGCTCTTAACAGACACATAGGAGTTTGCAGGGTGGATAAGTGGAAAAGGACGTCCAAGGGGAGGGAACAGTATGTGCAAAGCATGATGCATCCGGGAATCTGTGAGTCCCTGGATGTGGCTGCAGCTTAGGGCATTCGGGAGCTGGAGAACAGGGTAGGGACCAAATGGTATGGGGCCCCGTGTATGTTTCTTAACCCATGTCATCATCCGTCAGGGCCACAAAAAAATCTTGAGAAGCTGCTCAGTTTCTTTGTAGGGCTGAGTGTGCCTGAGGCTCCAAGTAGCATCAGTTCTTGATAAATAATTCAAAGCCCTGTCTTCGTGGGTCCACACACGTCTTTTCATTCAAGGAGCACTGATTTATGGACACGGCTTTCAAACACAAAAGGCTCTGATTCTATTTTGCTTAAAAAAAAAAAAAAGCAGAAGCTCTCAGGATTTACTACACTGATGGGCATGCACAGAAAATGAAGGCGAGAAGGTGCTGCAGGCTGCCTGAGGGAGGGATACAGGGATGCTGCTGTGCTCTATCTGGAGAGGAGCTGCGCCACCTGCCTCCCAGCCCCACGGTCCCGAGGGCCAGAGAGGAACCAGAGCACTTTCTGCTGGCCCCAAAGCTTCCCTGTTACAGCTCCGCCCCTCTGCTTCACAATTGGGAAAATCCTCTAACGCCGCACAGGAAGTGAGGCAGAATCAAGCCACTCGGAGCTCTGAAGCCCAGCCCAGTGCCGTCTCCACTTCTTTGAGCCTCTCCAGTTTCTTCAGATCCAAAGGATTTGCTTCTGCGGAGCTCTACATGGAGGCAGCCTGCTGGAATAGACAGAACAGATGCTGGCATCAGGGAGGTAGGAGTTCTGCTTCTAAGTTCTGCTACTCACCCGCTGCCCAATCTTGGGCAAGCGACTTAATCGCTCTATGCCTCAGTTTTCTCATCTCTAAAATGGGAGTAATGATGAGTAGGTGTCACGGATTAGAGAATGTCTGCCCAGTGCTCCCTATACACACGCATCTTCAGTTCAAAATTGTTTTATGTCTTTTGCCCCCTCTCAAGGGCTTGTTGGTCTCTTTTCTACTGTTTGTGCATCTCTATGGTGTAAAGCAGAGATCTGATTTAACTTTTGTGTGAACATCTTCATCACGTGCAAAGTTAGATGGGTATTTCTTTCATCCAGCAGTTACGAGATGAGTAAACCCAGTTGGTTAAGGTCGAGAAAGCAGGCTTTCTTGTTGCGCTGTCAGTGAGAATATAATTCGCACCACGTTTCGGCAAAAATTTGTAAATATATAATCAAATTTAAAAAATATATATATATACCCTAAAATCCTATGATCCCACTTCTAGAACTCTTTCTTACAAAAGCACAATGTTGCAACATTGTTTGGAAAAAAAAAAAAAAGGAGCAGGGGAATGATCTAAATGTCTGTCCATATCTGAATGAATAAATTATAGAGCCTCCATACAAATAAACTTCTATACAACCCTCTTAAAAAGCACCATATGTACAGACTTGGAAAGAAGTCAACAACATATTGTAAAGTGAAAAAGGAAGTCGCCGCACAATATGTATCGTGTTAATACTGATTTTGGATTTTAAGAGCCATAGATAACACAAATAGCTAATGATTTATTGAGTACTGATTCTTCGCCAGGCACTTATCTAAATATTTAATCCTTGCAACAAACTCATGACGTAAATGCGATTAGCCCATTTTTCAGATGAAGAAACTGAGGCCCAGAGAAGTGAAGCGATTTTCCCAGGGCTGTGGAGTTGGCGGAGTCCGGACCCAAGCCTGGTGCTCTGACAGCCGAGGCAGCTCCTTTGAGCTCAACCCCACCTGCCCTAAGCAAAGGAAAAGGTCTCGAACTGGCAGGGGGAGAGGGGCCTTTCTCTGCCCACTTTATCCACTTTTGTGTTGTTTGGGTTTGTTACAATGAGCATGTAATCGAAAAATAAAAATTTTATAAAAGTGCCCAACCATGTGGAATCCTTGCCGGGGATGGGGACAAGAGGGAGTGGGGGGAACCACAGACACTTTCTCAGGCTGGGCTGAGCGCAAACCTGGCTTTATGTGGATCCCCTGATACACACCTTCCGCGTCAGTAAGGAGAAGTACAGGGGAAAGGGTCCAACTCCAGCGTAGGACAATCTAAGTTCAATCCTGTTCCACCACCAACCAGCTGAGGGGACTTTGCCAAGTGTCTTAATCTCTCTGAGCTTACTCTTCTCAGCTGCAAAGTACTACTACCACCATTACGGGGTTGCAGCGGGGTCAGAGAGAGAGTGGCTGGCACGTAGCAGGTGGTTAGTGAGAGGTGGCTGCTGTGGCTGCTCCATCCCATGCTCTCTGCAGTGTGGCTCCTGGGGACCTGGCATCATGTGAATTAAGATGAACTCTTTGGCTGACATCATCCGGGAAGCTTTCATTGTCCCACAGTGTCCACATCCAACTCTCAGGTCCAAACAACTCAGAGACAGAGGATTTCATAGCAATCTTGTGAATTCCAAAGGCCACTGACTCCCCAAGTCTCCCTCTAATTTCAAGCCCCCTCCCTTTCTAAAGAAGAAAAGGGACAAGAAGAGAGATTTTTGCTCCCATCTTACCCTGTGATCTCGTCTCAGGCCTTGATGTTCTGAATCTAGTGTTTGGAAGAAGTAACCTGCCTCAAGGTTCTCTCTCAGTGGGCCTGGGAAACCCCGGGTCAATCTGATGCCAAGCGGGGACACGGAAAGAGCAAGCCACAGCACGTGGGTCCCGCCTACAGAAATCCCCGGCTGCCTCAGGGAATGGGGGCGGAGGAGGGCTGGGACGCGTTTTGATTCCTTGGAGGTCTCTGCTTCAACTTTAATATGACTTTAATATTAGTCCTCCAAATATTGCTCATCATTACCTGCACGGACTAGATTATCGAGACAATCGCTCGAGACTCCAGCACCCCCAGCCCCGCCTCTAAGGGCGCGCTGACCTCGGAACACCGGCGGGCGTTCTCCATTCTGAAGGTCCTCGCGAAGTCTGCGTGCTGCTCCGTAATCTCCCAGGCAGCTTCGTTTATCGCTATTGTGCGTTCCTACAGATTCTTAGTTTAATGACACCCTTTCTGAAGTAGCAGCGATGGTGCCAAATGGCACTTGCATTTCCAGGAAAGCAGCCAAACTCATTAAGTTAATAAAGGAATTTAGCTGTATAGAGATGGCTCCTTCACATACATTCCCGAAAAACCCGCAGTCTCTCAGCTCATCAGCAGCCATTAAACCTCTGCCTCCACCTGCAAAGCGCTCGCCCCACCGAGTCACAGCACGTGGCCCCGCGTCGGCTGCAGAGGACAGAGTGCGCTGTGCCAGCCAGCCCTGATTTCTCTGGCACTTCTGCTCCCATAGCTGCTCCCCAAGTCCCCTCTCTCTGCAAGCCCGAGTGAGCCCCACTGGAGCCCCACAGGTCCTGGTCAGGGACAAGACAAGCCCCATCTATCCACCCACGTGTTACAGCTGGATGGTTTGGATGCTCAGCATAGCCCGGGATGGCAGGAAGCAGTTGTCAGACAAACCATCACAACAGCCACCTGTGTAGTCTCCCACCTCCGTCTTATCCCTCTGCCATCGTGCTTCCCCTTTGCAGCCAGGGTAACCTTTCTAAACCATAAATCTGATTACATCACCTTCTGCTATATTCCTTACCGGCTCCCCATTGCTCACAGGAGACCAGTCCCCCAAACTCCTAGAACAGCATCAGGCATTTGAGGACGCCCTCCACCATCACTTACCTCTCCAGTTTCCCCAACACCTCTCACCCACTCACCTCTCCATCCTACACTCCAGCTCCCAAAACAGGCCCTGCTCTCCCCCTCATCCAAGACCTTTGGTGTCACTCTCCAGCTGCCTCTGACACCTTTCCCCATCCCCACTGCTTCCTCTCTTCCTGGATAACTGCAACTCATCCTTCAAGACTCCACCCAAGTCCCTTCCTCCTAGAAGCCTTCTCTGGCCTCCCAACTTGGCCTGAGTAGATGCTTCTTCTTTGAGCTTCCATAGCAACCGGCACGCCCATGTGCAAGAACACTTACCACATGGAATCATGATCATCTGCTTTATTATCTATCTCCACAACTAAAGCATGAATGTCCATTGTTCCCACACCACCTCTGCATTCCCATATGCCCAGCACATGGAGGTACACAATCAATGAAGCAAAAAGATTCTGTCTAGTAGCCTGGTCATCCGCACCCTGCATGTTGAGTTCCTGTCTTTCCTGACATCATATTTCCTCAATGAATTTTGTAAAAACGCCCCTCTCTTTTCTGGTCCCCAGATCTCTTTTCCTCACCCTCTCTTAGCTCTTTCTCTCCTTCTCTCCCCTTGCTCAGTGAGAGTCTTATTGACTTGTCAAACTGGAAGCTTTAAATATTTTTATTTCTCTGCTCCTGGAAGCTTGCACATGGTCCTATCCACTTCCTTCGAGTGGTCCGTCCACCTCTTCTCCAGCTCCCCTCCCCTCGTCTCAGTCCTTACACCTTTAACTCCATGACTGGTTGGGAAGAGCTCCCTACCTCCTACCATCCTGCAGAGGAGTGTGGGAACCACCCCTGGGGTCAGCCTTGGGTCCACTCAGCCCAGGTTCTGGCTCTAATGGGGTCCCCTAAGATACGTTATCACTGCCCCACAGTGCAGATGGCTGCATGACAGACTCATTCCCCTCAATAATCCTACACAAATCAATTGGTGAGTTCAGCCAGGCCTCACAGGAAGGGTTTTATATTTCCTATTGGCACCAGCTCTTGGCTTAATGAATTTCTGAAGTTTACTACCCTCTGAATGTGTTTCAAACATTCCTCTTCCAAGTGTCAAGGCAGAGAAGGCAATTAACATCCTGGAAGTAATGGCTACAGTGGAAGTAGATGGTCTTGCACCACCATCCCTACCTCACTCTGCCAGGATCCAAGATCCTCCTTCATAAGAACCAAAGGGCATGGGAGGATTGGCTCAGCCCGGGGTTCACATCTCCAAAATCACCCACAGGGAACATAAGGCATGCGATGGCAGGGGACTACTCTGGCTCTTACATGGGCCGCTAATGCTGGACTGCAGGAATACTGTGGTCATGGCAAGGGACCCCCGTGAGAGGAAGCAAGAACAGAGACTGGTTCAGGAAACCCAGGACTTAACCTTCAACTGGTCTAAGCAAGAGGACTATAAGAGTCAGGGGCCATTCGGGAAAACTGAAAACTCTTTAGTATTTCAAACACGGGGAATTTAATACAGAAGATGGGCCACAGTGGCTGTAAAAGGGCTAAAAGTCCAAACGGAGATGGTGAAGCAATCCAAAAATTAGCAACAGCAGGAAGTCACCATCCCTCCAGGGCTGCAGGACACAGATGGGGTGATGGTGTTACCAAAACCCAGAAGCCAGGGCCATCAGCCCAAGCTAGGACCACAGCAGAGGCTGCCTGGCAGAAGGTGAGACCATGGAGGGAGGGACGTCTTGCAAGGATCTGGAACAGCCATGCAGATGAACCTGCAGCCCGAAAATGCTCTTCTTCACCTAGAGCAGAGGGAGAAGGGGAAATGCCCTGACTTCTCCCTTCCTCCCTAGCTCCAATCTCCTGCTGTACCTAGACAGAAACCAGTGGGAGCAGTCTGGGAAACACAGCTTTCAGGAAAAAGGTAGGGATGGATCTGAAAGCAAGAGACAATGGTGAGTCCAGAGACCAAGAAATAGACACACTCCATTAGTTCATGTACCCCTCTATGTTCTCCTTAGAGTTGCATAGCTTTCAGTTGTGTCCTTTCTCAGCTTCCACCCTTCTAGACTGAAGA